TTGCCTGGAATGTGCTTATAACTGAAAATCTGGATAATTGTGCGTGATTATCAATAACAATAAAACTAAAAAATAAAGAAACCTACGTCAATACACTATTATCATATGTCTAATTAGTTAACTTCTTAATTTCGCAACTAATTAATATTAATCACCTCAATTCCTTATTAAGCTATTCTAATTAATTTCTGCCCTAATTAGTACTAAGTAGCCATTAACTTGCTTGTAATAAGTGATTTCATCTTCATCTTCAATTTGGTCTCCATGGTTACCCCCATAGCTACCAAGAAAGCTATGGCACTCTGTAAAGGAAACTTAATTCAAACACAGTAATTCTTGAAGCGATTAAGCAATGCTCAAAAACTCCTAATAAAAATCACAAATTATCTATGATATACTACGGCTAATCTTCAAACATTAAATCTTTGCTAATTATACTCATTACCACATAATTGGCTTTGACCTAATTCTTACTTTCCCTGTAGTTTTAACTGAAGTTCACACACACTAGCCATAGCACTAAATAACTGTCACACCAACTGATAGTGGGTTCTCAAGTATCAATGAACACCAGCTGGTATACATACACTAACATGTACTAGCTATCGTACCCTGGGTCTATTGACTTACAATACATACTCAGTTAGAACCTACTCTTAATCGTATGAAATCATTAAGTTCTAATTATTTCAATCGGTTACAGGTCGATTCTCTTATTCTCTGCCTCCTTTTAATCAACAAAACGTTTTAAATCGTTCATGGTCCGGTTTCATGACAGCAATCCTCCCCAATTTGCCATTATCAGTTATAGAGAGATGATCATTTCATTTACATAACTTTCCTTTCATTTTAAAAATGCTTTTCCTGAAATTTTGACGAAACTCTTTATTAAGTAGTGCATAAATAAGCGGATTAGCTCCTGAATTAATCAGAATGAAAACGTCTGCAATAAACCGTTCTGCGGCTGAGCACAGTTCATATCGGTTCATGGCTGCATCAATAAACTGTGGAATCCAACAGATAAATAAAACACCGAGCACTAGGCATGGTGTTATAGCTGCTTTTAATTCACGCTTCATGTAATGTTGCTGCTGCGTTTCTTCTAAATTTGGATATATTCTCCTAAGATGATGTCTTGCAGTTGAAAATATTCTGAGGTACATGATAACCATTGTGATGAATGGAATAGCGAAACCTAATACAAATACATACATTCCTGGTTCACGCATAAGTGGTCGTATTAGTTCATAACAATTATTATGAGTACTATCATTCAAGATCAAGGTTGGAACAAAGGCAACCAAACAATAAGTCAACAGAATTGCAATGACAACTTTCACTCTGGACATGGTGATCCATTGATGATAATGGAGAGGATGTAGAATTGCGATGTATCTGTCAATTCCAATGGCCATTAGATGAATCAGGGAAGCCCCTATTGGATTGAAAGCAAAAATACATATGACAACACAAGTCCATTTCTCAGTCACTCCACCCAGACCATATAGCAGTGCTTTCATGGGGGTTCCACTCACTCCAACCAGTGTATCAGCAATTGCTAAACTTACAATAAAACAGTTTGGAATCGTTCGTAAATTGTGATTTTGGTAAACTGCAAGTATCACCAGAATATTTCCGAACACAACTGGAATACTCAAAAATACCATAACCCCAAACTGTATGTAGAACAGCAACCCATAACAGTCCAGGGTGTTGGTAAGTTCATCAACCATCTGGCGAGATCCATTATGAATGGCATGATTCCATGAGTAAGATGTTTCCATTGCATTCATCTTCTTGTGCACTGACATCGACGATAACGTCTGCAAGTAGTGCATTCAATGATTTGATCCTCGGTATTAACACTTTGTGAACTATATACTGACTGACATGTATTTTATGTATACCCATTAGAGACAGGAAACTACAATGACAACGGAAATTACGATGCCAGAGGGTACATCAATATTTAACAGAAATCATATATTGGGAATATATGGCGCGTTAAAAGGATTACAATTTCAATTTATTGTTACCGTTCAGTCTATTCATTCACTTATTTGTGTTACAGCTATGTATCTATTGTCACCTATTAATATCGAACGCACTCACGGCATTCCCAGTGGCACTGATACTAACAACTCTAACCTATGTATAACAGCCAGAGCCTGTCAGATTCAGACACAATTATTTGAAATTGACTAAAAAATTGAGCTAAAGAAAGTATGACCGCGGCCAGGATGACATTTTGAACGTAAATACTTTTCTTTCTGCTGTTGCATACATTGATTGTATCAAAACGATATGGATTTGAAGCTACAGTAGAACAGGAGACTGAACAAAACATGCACCTTTATCTCAGTACATGGACAGGATTTCTAGCTGCGATCTATTTCTATAAAAATTTGTTTTCAGGATAACGGTCACAGTGAACGAAGACTTGTGATTGCTTCCATGGCACCCTAGCACCATGGCACTCGCTAGCACCCTAATAGTGCGAGTTCTGGTTCCAGGACGTTTTTAATAGATTGATACGCTGTCTCGGCATAAACATGTTTGCAATCTGTTGTTCAGATCCACTTGTTTAACCGAATGTTCAACCAATTCACCCTGACATTGAAAACAGTTCATGTTTAAATTTATTACCTTTAGCACCCCGATTTATTTTTTACTCATATGAGGCAGATTTACTTCAGTAAGAAAATATAAGACACAAGAAGACGAACTCATTCAATTTCATCTTCAAGTATAGTGATGATGTAATTCTATAAAAAAATCAACAATCAATAATTAACCCACCTGAACCTGAAATAAATAAACCATATAATCAAGTTCTTCTGCCTCATATTTTGATGTTCTACTTGACTCTAAGGGTAACCTTTCCACGAGACTTTAATTTCATCTCATCTTCTGCATATGCTGTATACCAACTTGTTCCATATGCTAGAGCTTATATTGGATACTAAACTTGGTGTTTAACGCCACAAGTCGCAGTGTTGTTCCTACCATCAGCCACAATTTTACACTCGTTGGAAAAATGAAGGTAAGAGATATTCAATATACTCACACTCGTTAGTCATGGGCTTTCAGTTATTATACCATGCATGTAATGTATAGAATTGTAATTTATACAATTTTCCTGGCCAGCATTAAATTTATTATTATGACATTTTACAAATATATCTGTGAAGAGTATTGAATGTTCTCTCCACCCCCTTGTCGTATCGTTACCGACCTTACTGTTGTGTGTAAGGCATGGTGTTGTCGCCGTCACCCCTTACTAATTGTGTATCTACGTTGGTCGGAGGTGGAAGCTCAGTTTAGGACTGAACTATTTTAAGGTTGGACGAAATTGCCGGAGATAAGTAACAATATTGAGCATCATTCTTGTTGTACCTAATAAACTATAGCTTCACATGGTTTATGTGTGGCATCACATATATAAGATAAACCGGTGTGCATTCCTGCCTCTACCTATGCATATAACTGAATGGTACTATATTAGTACCCATCAGCCTAATTATCCATGTGTTACACGAATTGTATAACTTAAAATTGGTTAAGAACCAATACATGAGGTGGTAACAAATTATTGGTTTTTTTGGGTAAATACGTTTGACCCAATCCTGTGACATTGTGACGTATAATACACTGTGTTGTGTTTATTTATAAATCAAAAATTTGAACAATTATTGATTATATGAGAAATAGATACACTGCACCATTATTCATAAATAAATTGAATGTGAAATTCCACGATACATTGATAATTAGTGGGAAAGCTGAGTGTTTATAAATAATCATATCTAATCATTATTATAACATATAATATGATTAAATTATATAAAATATGACATAATAATAAAAAGGCCATAGCCATAAGACCATAATTGGATTAGGAAATACAAAACGACGTGCTGACCATTACTGTTCAATTAATTGAACCCATCAATTAAGCGAATGATATGCGAATATTAATTTTGCAGATGAATGTGACAAGGATGTTTCGAGGTGATCAAATCATAATGAGTTTGCTGTTTACAAAACCTTACAAAACAAATTCTCAACAAAAAATTCTCAACTCGCGAAAAATCGTGTCTTGTGTTGTCGCATACGACTTATTTACCACTGCCGTGTCACTGAGAATCTTCTAGAACCGTACTGTGTCTGGGTGAAATATTCTAGATTTTTTTTAGAAACTGGTTGAATAGAACACTGTAGGAGGCAGTAGAAGGTAATGGAACATTCTAGAAATTTATAGTAAATTCCAGACTCATTATGTATGCTGATGTAATGGTCTATTTATAGACAGTGTGGGTATATATAGGGGAGTTGTTCAGCACTGAGTTCAGATCGGAGATCTCGTTGAATTGTGTTGGAGTTTAAGTATCTAGTTATTGGAGGTTTGGAGTTTTACCGCGTTATTGTACTTGATGTTTGCAGAGTATAATAATAACAGTACCAGTTGAAACCTCATCTGTTGGCTCCGTGTTCGTATGTTATCATCGCCGCCAGGGAAGTCTTTATGTTACTGTTGCCATTTTGGTATTTGAACCATCACACCTGTACTATACCAATTACGGTAATATTACGTTGCGTGTGACATGTGTGTTTTAACCCTACCACAGTGCAGTTTGAATAGAATAATATATTTTACATTCTGTATATTTCGTAATTTAAATTTTCAGTTCAAACTAAGTTTAAATAATAGTTATTAATTATAGAAATACTATTACCACAGCATTTTAAGTGAACATGATTGGTGTAGCAGAGGGGTTAATTTGATACAAATGTATGCATTTATAACTAAAATAGCAGCACCCCCTCGTGGCAAACAATCTTTGTTTTCTGCCATGTCTATAGAGGGCGACATTCATAATCATTGTGTTTGTCATTTGTTCTATTCTGAATGTATTTATTTTTAGTATTACATTTTGAACGTTTTCGCGCATTTTGTTAAATTTGGATCAACACCACTGAATTTCATACTGGCAAAAGGTCTTCCTATTTATTATTATTATTGAAAAAAAGTCTTATAGATTTCTTAAAATAAGTGCTTGAACATCACAATAATAAAAAAAGTGTTGGTACGATGCACGCCACAACATGTTACAATTATCTATTGCCACGGAGACACAGCTGTATCGAGCTCGGGTCACTCCATGCTAGACGTCAGCTAATCCTTTATAAATATTCAAACTCAGATCTCACTCTTAGGTGTTTGTTGTTTAAATTCCACTGAAAGGTTATTTTTACCCCTCATATTACAATGACTGAGATGTATTGACAGTTTTGCAATTGCGATGAACACTTTAATAGGTCAGAGCATTATGAATGGCACAAGTAATTGAAAAGCATAGTTGACATTTCCTACTTTCCTTAAACTTTAATTTGAAACTGTAATGGTCGGAGTCAGAATACAGACATCTCTATATATACTGTAAAAGGTAAAGCCATGATTTTAATGAAATGAACAACACTTTGAATTTGCATGCCTATTGACAGATACAAGGTAGATGCCGTAGTGTAGTTGCGACCTATCCAAATATCAAATGTCTATGAAAGTATGAAATATTGTCCGCTGAGGGAGTAAGATAAGCGAAACGATATTGGGTAATGGATGCTATAATACTGTTAATCATTAAAGTGCGCCCTCTATATGACCTACTTTTCAAGATGTGACCAGTTTAATTGCAATCAGATTAAAATCTGATGGGTTGTACGGCGTGTATTTCATTTTATATATTTATTTTTTCCTTTTTTATAATTATTTTGTATTTGTTTATGATTTTTATTACGTACTTGTGATTCGGTATATTTTTAACTATCGCCACATACATCTGAACCTTGTTGGCTTTCTCAATTACCAAAACCTCGAAAATATTAATAATCAAAATAAAATAAATATACAAAAAACAAGCCAAAACTAGGATCTTATTTTAATCAGATTGATTACCTTCTTTAATCAATTGCACTAGCTCAATCCAGTAGTCGTTAGTGTAAGTCACACTATTCCAAGAATGCACACCAATAAGTTTCAAGTCTTTATTATTCCAGCCAATATTAATGGCGGATCAATGCGCGTGTGTAAGCCGCCTTTTTTTCAAAGTAGGAAGCACGTTTATATAAGTTGAA